AGCGTGGTGCTTAGGAGGCAGATGGTTGGCCGGGCTGTGCGTCCCGTGACCCTCGCCGTAAGGACAAGCCTAAAAAAAGACCTTGAAGATAAAGTGACACATGTAGCTTCCACGTCATGGCGGCATTATAGCATCAATATCACTTACTGACCACTGGCTATACATCACCCAAAGGTCACGGAGAGATGTGCAATCTTTCCTGCAGCACAGCGTCTCTGGCTTCTCCCGTGAAGGTCAGCTAGCCAACAGAGGAAAGTGGAAGATGTACTTTTGTTGAGGAAATATTTTTAAATTTAAAGTTATAAAGTTATAGGAAGTTAAAAGCAACACCACCCACCATAGCTATAGACTTATATATATATAAAGATATATAAAGATTTATATAGATAAAATGCCTTGAATTTCTAAATATATGGTATAATCTATTCAAATTAAACCCTAGTGAAAGAAGGAATACTCAAAGAGATCCAGGACGTATTAATATCAAGTGGCTCAGGGCGCAGATTCGTAACCTTGTTTACTCCATTGAGTAGAAGGTTACAAGTTTTTTTTTTGTCCAGGGCTAATAAATCAAGTCAGACCATTAAGCCTCAAAAAACATGAAGGTTCTGTGGATATACTCAACTAAACTCAAAAGTAATAATTCAGAATTTATATAGGGATGCTTTACATATGTCTTTGTTTTGCAAGTCTTAAGTAAGTCTCAAGTCTTTAATCTCAAGTTCGAGTCAAGTCCCAAGTCAGTTACAAGCAAGTCCAAGTCGAGTCTCGAGTCACTGGCCCTTAAGTCCAAGTTAAGTCCAAGTCGTCTGCATTAAGCTTCAAGTCATTTCAAGTCTTTAAACCAAAGTATACTATGGTATACTTGTATATGAGTATTTATATAAGAGTTGTAGAAATTAATTTAGTTAATTTTTCCTTTTTAAATGTCTTGACAAGATCATAGAGTGAATCATTACAGTCAGAATAGAAAGAATTCAGATTTAAAAGTGCTTCTCAAGTCTTTTCAAGTCACAGGCCTCAAGTCCAAGTCAAGTCCCAAGTCACTGACCTTCAAGTCCAAGTCGAGTCCCAAGTCTTAGTCTATTTTATCAAGTCAAGTCTCAAGTCTTAAAAATAGTGACTCAAGTCTGACTCAAGTCCATGTCACGACTTGCAAGTCCCACCTCTGCAGTCTACTGAAAAAAAAAAAAATACTTTGAAAAAAAACTACTGCTTTGAACAAAACTAAAAGTATTTTTATTTATTTATTTATTCAAATCACTTTTGTAGTTAAAAGTAAACGTCTGGCACATTAAAAGAGGAATATTAATTTTGTCTGACCTATTATTTTTAATAGACATTTTTATACACGCAGTAAGGCAAGGCAAGTTTATTTTGTATAGCACAATTCGTACAGAAAGTAATTCAAAGTGCTTTACTGAATAAGAAATACATTAAAATCACAATAAAAAACAAATCTAAACATAAATAATCATCATAAAATTAAAAAGAGAGAGAGAGACATTAAATTAGAGAGAAGAGAGCGGAATGAAAATGTAAAACCTTTCAGTAATATGCAGCTAAACAGAACTGTTTTGAGCAGCGTCAAAGTTGAGGCCTGTCTCACATATTCAGACTGTTCCAGGTTTTAGCTACATGAATCTGAAATGCCGTGAGTCCCCATCATACTTTGATTCAATGCAATATTTTACTTTGACCAAAACATTCTTATATGAAGGTTTAGTAGATACACTGAACTAAAGTAATGCAAGTTTTAAGTAATAATTCTTTATATAGGGTATGCTTGTTTACATTTACATTTCCAACATATAGGCCAACCATATGCAAAGATTATAGAGCCTTTAAGACACTAGAGATTCTATAAATTCAACACCCAAATTCAAATCCATGTTATTTATCAACATCGTCTGGAGCTCGTAACATGACGAGCTTAAGTTAATTTGGGTCAACCTGAGTGAAGTCCATACATACCTCCTTCACCATCTGCGAACGCCTGAAGCAGGGGGAGTAGCCAACCGCTCAGATTAATTTGACTTGATGCTTTTCCCAACTGCGCCGTCTCCAGAGAATCACCATTAGCATTTCCTCCACTTCCTAGGAAATAAAGATAACAGGTAAGATGAGATAGCACAAGCTGGAAGTTTTAAATTAATTCACCTGTGTACTGTCAAGCCATCACCTGCTGGAAGTAATGACGCTCACAATCTTTCCTCAACCAAAATATAGCTGACTTCTGACCTCCCCCATGCTTGCGAAAGAAGCTCAGACAGATAATGTGAATAGACAGCACCAGCCTGAGCAGACAAAACTTATCACCGGGGATCTTCTGCTACGGCTTGCCAGAATATCTCAGAGTCGGCATCCCAGAAGAAACAGTGATGCAATGAAATGTGCTGTACAAAACCAGAGGACAATACCGAGTGCAGGGGCTGAATGTGCTCCCTGACTCTGCAGTGCTGTGGCAGTAAATAACAGGTGATGTGTTTTTGTGTGCTGTTGTTGCAATAGGAGGTAAGATGGAAAGTGAAGGGGAAAAATAGTTAAAGTAGCAAAATAACGCAACCAGTATGAGATTGGAAATTACAAACTGGTCTACACTGCAACTAATTCCCTGTAGCAAGCTTATTACAATAGCATAGTTTAAAATGATTAATATTGCTTGCATTTTATAAACCACACCATGGAGATAAGGAAATAATGTCATTTTTATGGAAAATAATTTGTTTCATCAGATTTAAAATTTTAAATGACTTTCTCACTTAGATTTTTTTAAACCCATGTTAAAACATGCAGATTTTGTAAGTATCCATAAAACATTTGCAGTAAAAAATAATGCAACAAAGATCCAAGATGCCAAGTTATAAGGACTCATCATGTGTGACTGAAGAGGATAGAGGCAGGCTGTCGCCCTTTCTGGTCTGTGAGTGGGACTTGGATTTAAGGGATTAAACAGCTAAGGTTTTGATGAGGCTAATTCTGATCAATCAGATTGTTTCCCTATAGCATTTCCTGGTTGTTACTAAATTTGATGGACTCACTTAGGATTGATTGTTTGTGCCTTTGCATACTTGTCGAGATCTTTTTCTCTGTGGATTTCATACTGTGAATTTTCACTGGTGAATTTGTGGACTTGAAAATATATGTGCTGAAAATTTAAAAAGCAAATCTTCTGTTTAGAATTTTTAACACATTGAAAATGTACACTTAAAAATTCAGCTATTGAAATTCAGACTGAAAGCAATTCAAACATGTTCAATGGCAATGAAAACTCAAAACATGATTAAACACTAACATCTCCATGGAGACAAGCAAGTGGTGCACCATGGCCAAGAAAAGTTACACAGTGTATTTTAAACTTGTTTTCTAAACATATTTTTATAAAACATAAGATACCAATGCCGAAGTGCCAAATAGTGGCTCACTGAATAATGCATAGCACCTGTAATGTAAAAGCAACACTCCTCATTATAGTCCGGCTTGAGTGTGTGCGTGAGACTTCTTGAGATTCCCAATTTTTGCCAGCCAGACAGAACTGGCAAACTCCCCTGCAGTTAAACACATAGCGTTATATTATTCAGCCCAAGAGGATTCTATTTTGGTTCTGCTGTACAAATATGCATTCACTGACCTTAAATATAGGCTATTGCTTTGGTCCAATAGGTCATCTTCATAAAGGCTGCAGTATTTATGAGGCCAATATAATATACTGGACTATATCCCATGCTATGCTATGTTTTGTGCACTGCATCGGCCTCTTCTCGCACTTAGTAGCCATGGTAACGTGAGGTGTCACTTTGTCAAGCTATTTTAGGAAACGATAATGCTTTTTATAGGCCAGTACCACTATACTCTCACTGACTGTTTGTGGAAGCAGTTATATAATGTATTTAAAGTGCCTGGATCGAGGGTTTTTGAGCCAAGTTGGAGTTAATGATTATAAATTCAAAGTTCAGACTAAGAACATCATCCTGTGTGGGTGAGTCAGGACCATGGTTCAGTTTGAACTGTTAAGACCACCCACCTGTCCTTTCTGATGTAACACAACATCCCAGAAATACCTAAGGAGAATCTCATGCTGCTGTTTCCATGTGGTGCTCCTCATTGTCAGCATATGTGTGCCATGATAGAGGCAGTGGGAGTGTCAGGCAGTTGTTTTTTTATGACATTATAACATCCAGTTTCAAATGATGTCTTAATGATCTGCAATTACAATGTATTGCATAATATAAGCACATTTATCTTAAGCATCGAAGCAAAAAATTACACTAGATATACAGTCTCTCTCAGTGGAAATGTCACTCTTTTGGCTGTAATACTCCACAGTGTATGCAACCTTCGCAAAGCTACATACATACACACATACATACAGACATATATACATACAAATACATACATACATACATACATACATACATGCATACATGCATTAGGGATGTAACAATAACCAAAATATCGTGATGTCATATTGTTAAAAGTCTCACAATAATATCGTGGGCTGTCACAGTATATCGAAGCACAAGTTCCTTTGCTTAAACGCATAGTTTTATAGTAGCAACAGCTTATAAACATAGAGAACTACATATCCCATGATTCATTTCAGCGCAGACAAAATGAAGAAATATGTTTTTTACTTCAATTCTTGGGTTTATGATGATAATAATTCACACCAAAATCTTGTCAAGGTATTTTAAAAGCAAATAAGTGTCTCATCTACAATTATATCAGCTTCTTCAAAATATCGCAGTAAATATCGTACAATGAGATTCATATTGTGATAATTTCGTACCATGAGATTTGAATATCGTTACATCCCTAACATACATATACACTTTCACATCTATATTTTGAAGTTCTCTGATAAAAAATAAAATAAAATAAAATAATAAAAAAAAAATAATAAAAAAATGCTACAGTTGGATAATTCATTAGCCATACCTGCTTGTAGTTTTTCCCGGATCCAAACTACACGCCGTATCAAAACAAAGATGGCGGCTTAAGAGGAAAAAAGAAAATATCCCAGGGGACTGAAAAACATCAACAGATTTCTTCAGAATCAGTGAGGAATTGGCTAGTTAGCTTCCACACCCAGACTACTTCTTTGGCAAAGTTTCGACTTACAAGGTGAGTTTTTTTTTTTTTTTTTTTAATTGTATGTTGGTCAATGGAGTTAAAACAATACAAGGTGTGGTTTTCTTTCTTTCTTTTTTTTCCTTTTTTTTTTTTTTTTTTTCTTTTTTACTTTAAATACCCAACCAAATGAGTTTTAGTTACAAGACCAAATGTGTTTCTAAAAGATAAAAGAACCACACAATATTTTAATTTCCTTTACAACATTAAAGTGCCTATATTACGCCATTTTCTGATCTATGCTATATTCTCATCAAAAATATACCTGGAGTTTAATTGTTTTGTTTCATTTACACATATATTTTCACACACCAATCAAGGAAAATGCATGGTCTTTTGGTGTCAAAACAAAGATGGCGGATTACAAGGAAAAAGAAAGAAATAAAAAATATCACAGGGGACTGAAAAACATAAACAGATTTCTTCAGAATCAGTGAGGAATTGGCTAGTTAGCTTCCAAGCCCAGCCTACTTCTTTGGCAAAACTCCCACATAAGGTGAGGTTTTTTTTTAAACACTAGACCTACATAAAATTGTGTGTTGGTCAGGTCTTGGTAGTGGGTCTTAGCCATGGATCTATGAAAATAATTAGTTTAGCCCATTAGCTTTAGTAAGATGTTACATTAGAAAATCTGTAGTAGCACTCTGGTGGCTTTTATTATTAAAACTCTTAAAAAGTTTCAAAACCAAGAGTTATGTTTTAATCAATGATTTTAATATAACTTGCAAATTTTGTTTTAAACTTTGGCATCCACCCACTGTTTAATTCAGATTGCGACTCTGAGGACGTGAACCATTCATAAAAATAGAACATTTCTGACACCAGGTCTTCCACTGGGGATTTTCACTTAACTCCTCTGACACTTGCAGCCAGACACAAAATTGCGTGTCCACCTTCTACCTTAATGTCAAGTGAGAAATAGGTCATTATGATGTGTAAGATATTCAAAAGGACCTGATTAAATCTCAGTCCAAGCCATCACTCAACATAATGAGAGCTTCAATAAAATATGGATATGCTAATGAAATATGTATACTTGCAGTGGTCCCCAGAAACTTAAACCATAACTCCCCTTTTAGCCGAATCTTTATAGACCTGTTTAAAGCTGCCGATTAAAGGGCCCATATTACACTATTTTTAAGACATATGTTATAATTAGGTTATGTAGGGTAATGCCCTATATAACCTACTATATTGAGATTTGGGGCAATACATATAAGACTAATACAAGTCCTTGCAAAAAAGGCAATACGAGCAATCACATTATCAACTTATAATGAACCAACCAATGCTTTATTTATAAACCTTCAAATTCTGGAAAATGTACGATTTAGTCAACTCTTACACTTTGTGTAATGTTGAAAGTAAACAACAATCTTTTGTAAAAATCATTACAGAATATGTTCAAAATCCGAAATAGCCAATATGAGCTCAGAGGTTCGGCCATGTTTATCAAAAAGAAAATCAGAACAAACTTTATGAAATTTTGTTTATCTGTTAAAGGGATGGAGCTCTGGAACAACTGTACAGAAAGTCTAAAATTGTGCACCACTCTCTTCCATTTTATAAAGAAGTTTAAATTTTAGTTTAGTTTAAATGTTTAAAACTGCGCAGATACATGAGTTATGATACTTAATTTTGTTGTACTGTTATTGATTGGTTTGTTTCCTTTTGCTGTGATGAAGATGAACTGGTGTTAAGATGATGCTCTGACAAACGAATAAAGGGTCATAAGCTTAAGCTTCAGCCTACACCTTTTCTGTCAGCGTATATTAAATACGACTGTCTGTGAAATGATGATGACACAAATAAATTAATCAATCAACCAATTCCTCATCAAAAACATACCTGGTGTTGTGTTGTGTTCCATTAACAAATGCTGAGTTCTTCTCAAACTGTGAAAACACTGTGTTCCACCTTGTGATGCCATGGTACAGTAAGTTCTCCACTGTGTTTTTTAACTCCGTACTTCTTCACTTGGATCATTTGGGTTATTTCAGCCCTGGAATTGCTAATCTCTACTAAACAAAAGATAAAAAGTGGCTGTTATCTTGAAGACTGCAGCTTCATGACATCACAAAGTGGAACAGAGCATTTTGAGATTGGGACATGTAGACATACTACTTAAAATGGATTACTCAAACATGTGTGAATGAAACAAAACACAACCCTAGGAACTGAGGTTACAACATTCTAACATGGCTAAAAGCTCTCAAGAATCCATTTAGTGCAATATAGGACGTTGGTAATAGGCCATATTGTGTATTTTTAGAGAAATGAACCCAGATTCCAACAGTGGTCCTAACCTTGTCCAATGTTTGATTTGTGTTTCAGTGGTGAGAAAAGTGTGACACTGGCTGTTACAACACAGGCCTTGAACTAAGGTAAAAATAGCATTTCAGTTGAATTATGCATAGAAAGAGAGGCATCAATTATTCAGCCAAACAAGACAATTCTATGTCAATTACAGAGTCGGCATGTCAGATATCTTCATACCAACATATGATTCTGACATTATATCAATGTATTTGTATTGTTGTGAGTGTATTTTTAAAGTTATTTTTCTTTCCAGGAGTAACAAGGGCTGTCCAACTCACCATGTTCTCGAGCCATGGGGAGCTGCCTCTGGCTCCAAAACCAGATCCGAAATGTGGGTATGATTAAGAGTGTATCCAGCTACACTCCAGGTTCCAGGGCTTTTAGAAATTGCAGGTTGACATAATAATAGTGGTCTGTGAAATCCTCCCCGCTTGTTTTATTGTTTATGAGACACAACATGAGCGGGTGTGACAATGTGCTCTGAAAATAGCTTTTTAAACAAGGCCACCAACATCCGTCTGCTCCCACCTGCTCCAACTCGAACATTACCGTAGAGCATTAGGGAGAGCTTTTTACAATTGCGAACCGCATGAGATGAATAATTAGTTTTAGAGTTTCCATTTTGGCCTAATGTGATTTTCAGGCACATTAAACTGCACATGATAATGCAGGTTATAATCTCTGTATCAGCAATTGGTTTTATTGTTGCCTTTTTAGCAAAGAATAGTGTTATAAAAAACCTTGCGGATGATGTATTTCTGGGACAGTCTTTCTTTTAAACCGCTAAGGCAGCACATTTCACAGTACTCACACCTTCTTAATGTTGGGCACACACTCTTTTAGGCCATTGATCACCACAAAGTCTCCATCTAAAGAAACTGTACAAATATAATGCATGAAAACTCAATTACACAGTGTATGAGTTAACCCTTATAGGAAATAGGTCAGGTGTGGATGTGAAGCCATGGGTTTCACATAGTTTTCACATTTTCCATAAAAGAAACATGGAAATGCTCTTAATGGCTCAGTTTGTCTTTGTAGGGCAACAGCTGCAAGTAACTGAGCTGCATTGGGACTTACAGAAACGAAATGTCGATCTTCAGTGTAGAGTGTGTATAATTTTTAGTTGGAAGTTGGTAAACATAACCTAATAGTGCTCTCACTATTTGAATTCTTACTTCTTAAATTCAGGCACCGGCATCAATCATTAGTCAGTGCTAGTGCAGCCTCTGCAGCTCAGTGAGGGAATTCTGAAGGTTTTGAGGTTTTGCATGAGACATGGTCTGTGTCCTCTATATGCAGGTTAAAAGGTTTAAAGCAGTGTTTCCCAAACTTTTTTTTGGGGGGACCCATTTTAAAAGTCATAAACCTTCGTGACCCAAGTCAACAGACATTATTTGTAAATTACAAAATAAAGGTGTATTTGACCATTATTGAACATCAATGAGGATATTTTATTGTTGACTGAGTGATCGTGTCTCTCTGAACAATTAGTATTACTCAAATTTTAAACAATGAAAAACAGTAATTGAACCAGCAATAAAAGGATCCATAAGATGACTATTTGGACATTAAATGTAGCCCATTTCTTTTTCTTTTCAACATTCAATTGAACCTGGAACAAAATAGTCAATAAAATAATTACAAAAAGATTAGAAATTATACAAACATGTCTTAACATTTCAACATTTCTAATGAAATACATGGGCCTGTTTGCGTTTTTGTAGCTCGTTCCAGTCCGGGTGCAGGAGGAGAGTGCAACACACAGCTCAGGCGCAGCATTCAGTCTGTTTCTGTGCTTTGTCTTAATTTTTGTGAGGACAGAAATTGGATATGTGAGAACTGTATACCGCAGACCAACTTGCCGATCGTGACAAGGCGACCCAGAAAAAATCTCTTGGGACCCACCTGAGGGTTGCAGCCCAGTCTTTGAGAAAGAATGCCATAAAGTGCCCATATTATGCTATTTTCTGATCTTTGTTGTTTCCTCATCAAACTCATACCTGGAGTTTGTTTTGGCTCATTCACACATATATTTTCACACAAATCCTGCATATTTATGAGTTCAGAGAGTTCTTCTCTCATACTGAAAACTCTCTGTTCCACCTTGTGATGTGACAATGCAGGAAGTGCTCTGCTGAGTTTTATAACTCAGCACACCTTCACTAGAATTAATTGGATAGATTCAGTCCTGGACTTGCCAATATCTACTGAACTCAACATAAAAGGAAGCAGTTAAGTTGAAAACTACCACTTCATGACATCACAAGCAACAGGGCATTTTGAGCTTTGGGGATGCACACAGCCTAATAATGCAGGATTAGTCAAACGTGTGAATGAAACAAACACAACTCCAGATGTGTTTTTGATAACAACATTATAACATGGTTTAAAGCTCACAAGAGTTTATTTATTTATGTATTGTGTAATATAGGACCTTTAAACCTGTAAGTGCATTACATAACCTACTTTAGAAATATGTTTTGTATTACACCGTTAGTGATGATCAGATATCACATCTCATCACATATAATTACACTTTCACTTATTGTTGAGCATGCCTTTATTATATTGAGAGTGAGATAGCCTGCTTTAATTCACTTCTTTTGAAAACTGTACAAAGCGTAGCCCACTCACAGTCCCCTCCTCTGACAGACAGGACAGCCTGATTCACTTTCAATAGCTTCATTATATAATCAAACCGCTAAACGTAAACGTATGCTTACACCTCTGTGCTACTACATCACACTTCACTTTTAACACATTGTCCCTGTTCAGATGGCAATGACGATGCCTTCAGGTTCATTCTCTCCGCGCACCTGTCTGAGATGTCGCTCCGTACTGGTGGTCTCGGCGGGTGCTGGAGGTGCAGGGGAGGCGAGGCGACAGGTGCAGGGCTCAGGTATCTGACGTGATGCAAAGAGACAGCGCGGTGACTCACCCAGGCACACGGAGCGCTCCTGCATTAACCTGCTGCTGCCTCCAAACGATTACCTATTTATAACCTTTCCACCAGAGTCCCACTCCCGCAGACAGACGGGGAATCTGCCTGCACTTAAGCTCGCTTTTTATCTGCAAAATGGTAAAGAAAGACCCATACACCCTCAATGTTTAATAGGTTTAATAATGGAGTCTTAAAGCAAAAATACAGCTTTAGCCTCACACGGGAAACAATTGTAGTTAATCTGTCTATTTGGGTCGATAATGCGTTAATCTAATATCAATATCGTACAAGGATAGGCTACAATCTAATGTCACACTTGGCTGACTTAGTGCATGCCTGCATACTGTAGTGCACACACATTTTAAAATTACACCAGCATTACTCCATGTTGTTCAGTGTTTAGTGTACATACCTGCATTGTACACACACTTTAAAATGACTACATGTTGTTTAGTGGTATAAAATATGCATGCAGTCTTGTAACGATCTATTAGGAACAAAGTGGTATTTCAGCACAAAAACAAATGAAATGACTGTGTATTGCCGATGTTGTTCTGCTATTAAAGGCGCAGCAGCAATCATTTATTCATAACATTACTATTACCCCGCTCTTCTCTGAGTTATTATTTGTCTGTTGTCAACATGACTATAGCAAGCCATGGAACAAATGATTAGTTTCTATTGTGGTTCTGGAAGCATTTTACCACGGCAAAATAAGGTCCATTTGGCAATCAGCAACACAGTATAAAGCTGAATATATGTAAACACACCACAAGATAGACAAGATGAGATTTTAGACATTAGGAACTCAGTATTAACATGTTTTTAGTTGACTCTTAGTTGATTAAAGGTCCTATATTACGCAAACTTTTTTTTTCCAACTTTATTTAATAACAATTTCCAAATGTCAGCATTGTCAGGATAAAATATTTAAATAAATACAAAAAGCTGAGTAAAACACACACACACAAAACAAAAGCAACTACCAGGTCACCTACTACAATCAGAGGCGGCGCTACCCTTAGGCAACAGTAGGAGGTCGCCTAGGGTCTCTGAACCTGGAGGGGCCCCCAGACAATTGTCCTCAGTGCTAATAGCCGAGGCCTCAGAACAATTAGATTTTCTCTTAATATGACATTAAATGAGAGTAGTTTACTTAAAAAAAAGAAAACACTATCAAAATAGTATCTGATTGTCAAATCTGTTTTAACTGTCAAAGCATTCCCCCCTTTCATGTTAGAATAGACTAATCAGCTTGACCCTGATTTGAACATAATCATAAGTAATGGATGTTAAAAAAAATTACTAATAACAAATAAAACTACTTTCAGCTCTGGTTATTTAGCAGGCTATATTCAGTAACTAATAAGACAAGTTTCCAGTCCACCCTAATTCAAACAGAGATGTGTGTGTCTCAAGAACAATGGAAAAAAACAGACTATATACATATATATACAAAATACAACAACAAAACAGTGCATTATATTGAGGGCCCCAAACACAAGTTCACCTAGGGCCCTCAAACTGCTATCTCTGCTACTGCTCACAATAAACATGCAACAGATTGAAAAGAGAGAGTGAGATAGGACTCAGTCAAAGACGAGACTGAAATTAACAGACTCAACAAACTGAAAAAATGGAACCCACCTTTTCTTACTTTTTCCATGTTGATAAAATATAGAACATCTCTAATCCAGGTATGGACTGTGGGTGGAGCAGGAGACTTCCATTTAAAGGGACAGTCCGGAATTTTGGACATAAGTCCTCTTTTCCTAGTGAGCCAGAGTGTTGGAGACGTGTGGAGACACTTTTTAAAATATTTCATCCAGTCCTTGTATTTGCAGAGGTCGCTGGTGCTAGGCTAGTGCATCTGCTAGTAAATCTGTTATTAAGACAGACTATCGATGTGAATGTCTGTGTTGACAGAATAATGTTTGAAATAAAACTAAACTTACATCGCATCAATCGTTGCATGTTGAGGGACTATTTTTTCATATATCAGAAATTGGAGGCATCTGTTATATTATGTAAGCTTGACTCTGGTGAGCTTCAACTGATGTTATGCTGTTTCCTTCTCTAAAATATACCTGGAGTTGTGTTTTGTTTCATTCACACATGTTTGAGTAATCCCTTTTTATTAGTCTGTCTATATTTCCAAAGATCAAAATGCTCTGTTCCATCTTGTGAATGTCATGAAGCTGTAGTTTTGAAGTTAACTTGTGCCTTTTACCTTTAGATCAGAAGAGAATAGCAATTCCAGGGCTATTATCCTAATTATTCTAGTGAAGGTGCATGGAAAACACAGTGGAGCACTTCCTGTATTACCACATGACATCACAATAGAGTGGAATAGAGTGTGTTAAACATGCCCTTCCTGTAACAGATCAA